AAAAAAAAAAAAAAAAGTTGCAGCTGTTTTGTTGACATTCTGAATGATTCTAAATAAATACAATTTTTTTTTTGGAGAGGTTTTTGCTATAGGGCGTGTGCGCTCACCAGAGAGACAGAGAGAGACAGAGAAATCGAAAGTGAGAAATCACCCTCTAGGGGGGATGGCCATGCCACAATCCCTTCTCCTCCATTCTCCTTTCAGGATCTTGGGCATGCACACACATGCGCCCGGCATGAGTTTAAGTCACCGGGTCCGGTACTCAAACCGCAGTCAACTATATGGGAATCCAGCGACATAGCCACTACACTAACTGCTGGTCCCAATACAATTTTTTTTATTAAAAATAAAAAAAGAGAACACTTCCTTCTCAACACTTCAGAAAAACAGCCTAAATACTACACATAATTGAATACTTTGTACATTTGCCTCATCAGCAAATATTTACTGAGTGGCTTCTAGGTGCAAGATCCTGGGGATTAAAGATTTATTTACACATTTATTCATCAATATCTTTCTCAGAACTAAGGCATTTTGTAATCATGGTGCCCTCTTAATCACGGGGCCAGTTGGCAGAATCAGCAAGTCTTTCTGTTGATGATCTACTTGAACAAAATTTTTTAAATTTTCTTTCTTTCATGAGAGAGAGAGAACCTTCAACAGGGTCTCATGCCATGCCATGCATGATTCTCTCATGCCTAAGGGCTCTCATTCCCACACCCTAAGGGGTGATTTCTTGCTGTCTGTTTCTCTCTGTCTTTCCAGCAAACATAAACACCTATAGCAAAAATCTCTCTTAAAAAAGAAAAAAAGTTAATGATTTAGAGATTTCACTAAACCATTAACAGAAAGATCAATGTTTTGATTATACTGCCCAGAAGATTTAAATGAATGTTTAAAGCTTTCCCAACCAGCCAGGATCACGGCACACAAGTGCATGCTTAGCCTATACAAACTGACTTGAGAACAGAACTCCAGTTCTTCACATGGCTTCCAACATTGCAGTGTTGAGCTACTGCTGCACTGCCACAACTGGGTCTAGATGAACAGTCTTTATTTTTTTTTTTTTTGAGAGGTTTTTGCTATAGGGCGTGTGCGCTCGCCAGACAGACAGAGAGAGACAGAGAGACAGAAAGCAGGAAATCACCCCCCAGGGGGGATGGCCACGCCACAATCCCTTCTCCTCCACTCTCCTCTCGGGATCTTGGGCACGCACGCACACGCGCCCAGCGTGAGTTTAAGCCACCGGGTCCGGGACTTGAACCACGGTCGACTACGTGGGAGTCCAGCGACATAGCCATTACGCTAACTGCTGGTCCCTAGATGAACAGTCTTTAAAACAGTATTTGGGGAAGCAAAAGATGATGTAATGGCAATGTCGCTGGACTCCCATATAGTCAACTGTGGTTCAAGTCCCGGACCTCATGGCTTAAAACTCACACCAGCATGTATGCATACATGCCCAAGATCCGGAGAAGAGAATGGAGGAAAAGGGATTGCATAGATAGGAGTTAGCCAATCCCATGGGGGGTGATTTCTCACTGTCTCTTGTTTCTCTCTGTCTCTCCAGCAAGTGCACGCACACCCTATAGTAAAAATCTCTCTGGAACAAGCAGATGGAATAAATAGTTACATTCCGGACTCCCATGTAGTTGACTACAGTTCGAGTCCTGGACCTGGCAACTTAAACTCACACCAGGCAAGTCTGTATGTGCTCAAGATCCTGAGAGGAGAAGGGATTGCAGTGTGGCCATTCTCCCCAGCAGTGATTTCTTGCTTTCTGTCTCTCTGTCTCTGTCTCTCTGGTGAGCACATGCACCTTATAGCAAAAAATCTCTCTCTTAAACAAACAAACAAAAAAAAAAAAAAACAGCATTTGGCCACAAGAAAATTCCCAGTAATAACCCTGACATAGATTCTAGGTTAACAAATCAATGCTAGTGACCTCCTGCTGTTATAGGATGGGAGAGTGCTGAGCTGGATTGTGTAAAGTCCTTGCTTCTTTAGGTCCAGATTTCTAAAGTTAGAGACCTACCCTTAGGCATAAAATAAAACCGCAACCACGATAAAAGACAGTAGAAATGAGTATTTAATAGGAAAGAAAGATTTTAGAAAAGAAGTACACCCAAGACTTTTGCGCAGGCAGGTTGCTATGTAGCAACTGCATTTGAAACAGGTTAGGTGTTATTTTTATTACTAGAGGTGATAATAAACATTTAACAGTGGGAGACCTGTCACAGTAGCTAAGTTCTGTGTTTGAATTTGTGGACCTTCTCTTGCACTTGCACATCTCTCTCACAGGTGAAGAATTTGAGGAATTTGATTTCCTAATTGCACATGCCCAGTGTGAACCTTGAAGATAAGAGCATCTTTTTTTTTTTTTTAGAGGTTTTTGCTATAAGGCACGTGCACTCACCAGAAAGACACAGAGAGACACACAGAGAGACGGAAAGCGAGAAATCACCCCCCCAGGGGGGATGGTCACGCCACAATCCCTTCTCCATTCTCCTCTTGGGATCTTGGACACGCACGCACATGCGCCTGGCGTGAGTTTAAGCCACCGGGTCCAGGACTCAACCCGTGGTCGACTATATGGGAGTCCAGCAACATAGCCATTACACTAACTGCTGGTCCCAAGAGCATCTTTATTTAGATGAACTGCCCAATCAATTTATTGCCCTAGTGGGAATCAGGATGTTGACCAAAACATCCTGTTGGATCCTTTTGAATTTGTGAGGAATGATAAGAGGGAAATTAACAACCATCCCTATGTGTCTTTCTCAGGAAAATGGGACCTGCCTTGCCTTCCTATGCCAGGGACTTGGTGGGAGGAAGAAGTCTCTGCAGATAGTTTGTAATGTTGACCAAAACATCTGAGGAATGATAAGAGGGAAATTAACAACCATCCCTATTTGTCTTTCTCAGGAAAATGGGACCTGCCTTGCCTTCCTATGCCAGGGACTGGGTGGGAGGAAGAAGTCTCTGCAGATAGTTTGTAACTCTTGATAACTTGTGATTGATGTGACAGGTGTCCTTCTACTATTGTTAGGTCTGTCCACTCATTTCTAGCTAACTGCCTAACACACAACTTACTAATGTATTATTACTTAAGAAAAACTCTTAAGCCATGCAACTATCTGAAGCCAATACTCCCACTTGTGCACCAAACCCGGTTCTTTCTCACCTACTTGCCATCATTTCAGCAATTAGCCTGTCTCTCTCTTACATCATGACTTGTACTGCATGACACATCTAACAACTGAATGAAAGATCTACCACTATGTCCATGATTGTAAAATTTTAGAAACCTGCCAAAAAAATTAAATAATAAAAGGTTTTAAAAGCTTACACACAAAAATGGGTCTCAAACAAAGGAGCAAAAATCAAGTGTTAAGGTTCTTAATGTGGAGCAGCCATGGCAACAGGGCAGTAACACAATGCTCCACAATGCTGCGACCACATGGGAGGGTCCTGGGTTTAGGAACATGCTAGATACAGGCATAAGCATGCCCATTGTTCCAGTTAACTCAGGTTGGGGGTGGATTGTAGTGTGAAGACCCCATTGAATGCCAGGAGTATTCAGAGAGATCCCCAGATGCAAACCCAGAATCTTCCAATGTGGATCACCCTTTCAGAATGTTATGCTTTACCACCATGCCACTGCCTGGCCCCTCCATGAACTTTCTGAAGACCCTTCATATTTCTCAGCAGTCCCTGTGCAATAATTTACCACAACATGAAACAGGATTCATACACATAAAGAAATGATATCAAAGGACCAGCAAATGGCATAAAGGTTATGTTGCTGAACTCCCACATGGCCAACCACAGTTTGAGTTCCACACCTGGCAGCTTGAAGTTCACACTGGGTGCATGTGTGTGTGTGCCCAAAATCCAGAGAGGAGAAGGAAAGAGAAGGGATTGCAGCATGGCCATCCTCCCAGGGGAGTAATTCCTCATTTTCTGTCTCTCTGTCTTTGCAGCAAGTGTACATGCCCTATAGCAAAAATCTCTCTTAAAAAAGAAAGAAAGAAAGAAATGACATCAAAACAGGTTAAATTCTTTTCAATCTACTCAGTTTAATAAGGCAAGGAAGAACTATGTATTTTGAAAATATTCTCATCAAAAAATGGTTATAATAGTACAAACGTATCACCTAAAGTCAAACGTGTTGTTTCTCTGATGATGTCTGATAAATGCATTTAGATAGATAAGCATATCGTTTCAAAAATCATAGGTTCTAAACAAGGATTATGAGACACTAACAACCAATTTCAGACTTTTGTCTTCTTCATTCAAAGAGACACCAAGCCAGCTTTTTTCAAACAGCCTGGGCTGGTTTGGGCCAAGATCTAGTCAATATGTAGTCTGCCAGTGATGTAGGTAAATAAGATAGAGGGATAAAGAAAAACTTAGCATCCCAGCCTGCCGAATATCGCGTTCGCGGATGCACAGACGTCAGAGCGTGTTCCATGCAATCGGTGACCAAGTTCAGGTTTGTGCTACACTGCAACAGTCCTTGTTTGGTGATGTTGTAATCTGTCCCCAGAAAGAGAAATGGAGGTCAGCAATCTTATTTTTTACATTTTCATTTTGAAATCTTGTTGCATGCAGTCACTCACATCTAATTACGTTTATTTGTACAAGGATTAGGACAAAGCAAATGGATACTTCCTAATATAATAGCCACTAGCTAGCTACCTGCAGCTTTTTTTTTATAATTTTTTAAAAAAAATTTAAAGAGAATTATTTAATTTTATTTATGTATTATTATTATTCATTTAATTTGACCAGAGAAACAGAGAGAGAAAGGGAAAATGAGAAAGCAAGCTGTCAAGGTTCAGATTTCGAAGTGCAGTTGGCTATGTGGGAGTCCAGCACTTCAAACACTACACCACCTACCGGCCCCTAAAGTTAAACGTGTTGTTTCTCTAGGCCCCTAACTGCAGCTTCTGAGCACTTAAAATATAACTATTATTAGGGCCAGCAGGTGGTGTGGTGGTTAAAGACACTGGATTCCCACATGCTAACTGTGGTTTGAGTCCTGGACCTGCTCACTTACCTTCCCTTTCCCTCTCTCTCTCTCTCTTTGGTCAAATTAAAAAATGACAATAACAAATGGAATTAGATAGATAAATACTTTAAAAATATATAGCTAGTGTGACTGAAAAACTAAATTTTTACTTTAATTTTAATTTTAACACTCAATTATGTTACTGAAAAACTTTTAAAGTATGTTTGGAACACATTTTTTAAAAAATTATTCATTTAATTTCATCCATTATTGTTATTTTTCAGTTTGACCATAGAGAGAGAGAAAGGGAAAGTGAGAAAGCAAGTCATGAAATCCAGAACTCAAACCACAATCAGCCATGTGGGAGTTCAGCACTCTAACCACCACACCACCTGCTAGCCCCTGTCTAAAATATAAAATGTGAATCTACTTTTTCTTTTTTTTATAAAGTTTATTTCTTTCTTTCTTCCATAAGTAACAAAAGAGAGAGGGAGGGAAGGAATCCTTAACAGTGTCCTAATGCCACAATCCATCCCCAGCCTTGGCCAGCCCAGATCATGGTATGTGCATGCCCAGCATACTCAGGGAGGTCTGCAGGTGCAAACTCTGGGTTTGAGTCAGCCACACAGAATACTGTGATTCACCTCTGTACCACCACCCAGTCCCTGAATCTACTTGGAAATTTTTTAGCATCTTACTTGAGATATAATTTAAATATAATAAAATTCAGCCATTTAAAGTGCACAAACTGGGCTGGCTCTATGGCCTACTGGTTAAGGAAACTGGATTTCACATGACTAACTATATGGTTCAAATCCTAGACCCAGTGGCTTGCAAAACATGCCAGGTATGTGTGGGCACATGCCCCAAATCCTAAAGGAAGGAGAAATGGAGAAGGTACTGTGGAGTAACTATGCCCCACTGGGGGTGCTATCTCCCTCTCCCTCTTTCTTCCTCTGACATACGTGCTGTCCAGAAAATGTTTTCAAAAATAAAATAAAGTATAGGGACCAGCAGTTAGCATAATGGCTATGTTACTGGACTCCCATGTAGTCGACCATGGTACAAGTCCTAAGCCCAGTGGCTTAAACTCATGCCGGGCACATGTGCGTGCGTGCCCAAGATCCCGAGAGGAGAATGGAGGAGAAGGGATTGCAGCATGGCCATCCCCCCTGGGGGGTGATTTCTCACTTTCCGTCTCTCTGTCTCTCTTGACTCTCTCTTTCTGGCGAGCGTACGCGCCTATAGCAAAAACCTCTCCAAGAATAAATGAGTAAATAAATAAATAAAGTATAGAAATCAATTATTTTCAGTAAGGTCAGAGTTGTGTAATTATCACAACTTAAGGTCAGGACACATTCATCATCTAAAAATAAACCATGTAACCACCAGCAGTGACTCCCATTTCTCACCAATCCATCCTGCCTGAGGCAACCACTAATCTACTTTCTGTCTCTATAGACTGCCTTTTCTGGACATTTCACATAAATGGAATCACTCATTGTGGTCTTTCATGAAAGGTTACTTACACTGAGCAAAATGTTTTCAAGGTTCACCCATATGTGCAGCATATGTCAGTATTTCATCCCTTTTTATTACCAAATATTATTCCACAGTATGCCTATACAACATTTTGTTTATCTGTTCATCAGCTGATGGACATTTGACTTGTTTCTACTTTGAGGCTATTATGAATAGTGATGCTAACAACTGTAAATTTTATTAGATCTAAATAATACAGATACAATATTTCCCAGAAAACTTTTTCACAGAAAAATTTCACACCCAAGTTGAGATGTGTTGTAAGTGTAAAATGCACATCAATTTTCAAATACTGCTGGGGGAAAG